TGCTCATCCCAGGGATCTCCTCATCCTGCTCATCTCAGGGATCTCATCCTGCTCCTACTGCTCACCCCAGGGATCTGCTCATCCCAGGGATCTCCTCATCCTGCTCCTACTACCCAGCAAACAGGATCTGAATCTCCCACACTTTTATTGGTCCAAGTGGTACAGGAGAGAGTCCCAAAGTCCCAGTTTCTTTGGCTGATGTGGTGGTTGTGGCTATTTGGCAGGAGGAAAGGAAGCTGCTCTGTTGGTGACCCAGAACACTGATCTGAATCCCTGCCAGCAGTGAACTTTGAGCTCTGAGGAAGGTTCAATCACCCCTGCTGCTGCCAGCTGAGACCAGCACACTGTCTAGGAACAGAGGACAAGAAAAAGCAGCCAAAGGAGAGATGTCTCCACAGCCAGGGTTACGTTCAGCATCATCTTGATTTCCACTGCAAAAGGCTACGAAAGAGAGCAAAGCCCTGGAAGAGGTGAGCTCTGTTCACTCCGTATCCACCTGCTTGTTCTTAGACACCCACTTTTGAACTGTTTTAGCACTAAAGTCTGACAGTTAATACAGTGGATTTTGGTATTTAAAAAATGGTTGACATGGAGTGAAGGGAGCACTCCCAAAAGGTTCAGACTGGACCAACATCCCAAGCTGCTGCTGCTGCCATTTACACGCTGCACTGATGTGTAACCAGCGCTCCCCACTGTTACCAGAATGCACCCATTCTAAAAAGCAAACTAGACAATCAGGACACCTATCATTTTAAAAGCAGGGATTTCCAGGATACACTTTAAGCCTTGTACAGTGAAATCTAAGCCACTCATTATCAGAACTTTTAGGCTGATTGTTATTAGGTCAATATTAGCCTAAAAATCACGTGCAAAGCTGCATGACAGAAATCTACAGGATTATCAGGTGGAAAAAGTAAATCTTGGCTGGCCATTATCTTTAGTATTTGGGAACACCCTGAGGATTACCAGAGCTGAGCTGGACAGAGAGAACATATGAAGTGTAATTTTATGTCACAAAACTTGGTGCCAGTTTCAAAGCTCTGGCAATTGAAGCATCATCTTAAGACACAAAACCGCGGAAGATCTGGCCTTTGTCTCCGCCTGTTGCTTGGCTTTACTCTGAGATGTGTGGCTCTAGAAGTCTTTTTGCCACATATGAGACTCCTGAGTCCATGTGAACTGAGAGATGAGTTATACTTACACGGTGGCTTCAAAACTGCCCAGTGCCAGACAACAGCCTTCCTCACTTCCTTGCAGAAAGTAAGCGTTATTTGGGATTAGCGGAAGAGAAAGTGAAAGTAAATGCATCCATCCCTCCAGCCTAGAGCCATCTACTTTTAAGTCCTCTAACATTCAGACCCCTGTTCTTGAACTCTGCTTTTAAAACAAGCTGAGCTGTTAAATGTTGTCCAGAGAAGGGCAATGGAGCTGGGGAAGGGTCTGGAGCACAAGTGTGCTGAGTTCCCTTGTGGCTGAGGGAACTGGGGGTGTTGAGCCTGGAGAAAAGGAGGCTGAGGGGAGACCTTCTGGCTCTGTCCAAGTCCCTTGGAGGAGGGTGGAGAGAGGTGGGGGTGGGTCTGTTCAACCAAGGCCCAAGGGACAGGACAAGAGGAAATGGGCTGAAGTTGTGGCCAGGGCAGTTGAGATGGGATGTGAGGAAGAATTTCTTTGCTGAAAGGGTTCTGAGGCATTGGAAGGGGTTGCCCAGGGCAGTGGTGGAGTCCCCATCCCTGGAGGGATTGAAGAGTTGTGTAAACATAGGGCTGAGGGACATGGGTTAGTCATAGGGGACTGGTCAGTGTTGGGTTCATGGTTGGACTCGATGATCTTAAAGGGCTTTTCCAATCCAGGCCATTCTGGGATTCTGAACTTCCACCCAACATCTGCAGAATCTGTTTAAATTGGACACAGCCATTTGTTTCAAGACAGGTTCTGCTCCCACCCCAAACCAAAGAGAGAAAACAAATCATGCTGGGTCCACATCTGAGTTGATCTGAGGGGCTTCTACATCTCCAGGGATATGATAAAGTCAAAGTCTCCTTTCACTTACCAGCGTAGAAGTGGTAGAAGGGCCACCAGACAGCACTGTTGGGAATATAGGTGAGCAGTGAGGCCACATAACCCCTGTAGAAGCCTCTAAACCCATCGGCCTTGAAAATCTGTACAATGATGTCCTTGGTTTGACCAAAGACCAACATCCGCTTGCCATCTTGGTTCTGCACTTTAAACCTGCCCATGCTTTCCCCCTTCCTCTGCATCATGAGATGCTGGGAGATGACATCGATGGGCACCGTGATGCTCTGGGCCACCAGTGAAGCTGAGCCACCTGCCACCAGAGACTTGACGGCATTGTTGTTGTTGTACCGTGACACGTATTTTCGAGTGAGCTCGTACGTTGTCACGTAGCACTGTCCAGAGATCAGGGTGAAAGTGTTGACCAAAAAGCCCCGGTAGAGCCCAGCTGCCCCTTCTGTCCGCAGGATTTTCACAAAAGCATCAAAAGTCCCGTTGTAAAGGCTCTTGCCCTTCTGAACCTGCAACCGCGTCCGGATGAGCGTGAAAGGGTAAACGCTCACCCGGATCATCATAGTCATGCAAATCCCAAACACATAGAACTTCCTCTTGTCCAGGTGCTCCCACTCAATGATGGGGATGTTGCGTTTGTCCTCCATGACTCCTCAGAGTGGGGTAGGAGAGGTGGTAGGGCCCAGATCTACCTCAAAAGTAGGGAGCAGATCCAAGCTCAGCCCTCTGATCTCGACTGACTAGATCGGAAGTGGTGGCATCTGAAACGAGAGACAATTTCAGTGGGTGATGAAGCACCTAAGGCAGCTACAGCAGGTTCCATCACCCAGCTGTGCTGATTTTCCCGAGGCAGACACAGAGCCCTGGCACAAACCACTGCCCTGGCAGAGCGGTGGGACTGCAACCTCAGGAATCGGGGCCGTAGCACGTGGCTGATAACGGCACCTTCTGATGTCACCCCGGCTACTGGTTAAATTCTAACGGCTGTTTGCCCACGTGGCAGTTCTCACCACGCTCCAGACTGCTCTGCTTCAAAGCAAAGCTTGCTGGAATCTGCAAATCCATGGAGGAGGAGCACTGCTCCAGCAGCAAACGCTACCTTTAATGAACACGCGGGAATACGGACGGTCAGTCAGAGCAGCTGCTCCCGAGTCATTCCGGGCTTGGGATGCTCCTGGATGTGAGGATGTCACTTGTCAGTTCCAGGCTCTGTACAAAGAAGAAGTGACAATTTCTCCATTTGTGTTCCCACACTCCCTGCACAAATTACACATGTTTTTTCCTGGGCATTTCTATTTTGACCTTCCTAAAGCTGAAGGGTAATGAAAAGCAGGGAAGGGGGAAGAAAAGATGGGAAAAGAGGAGCAATAATGGGAGAAGAAGGCAAAGAGCCACATAGAGCCACCACGCTGATGACCAAGACCCTGAAAAGAAAGAGTTAAAGAGAACAGCCCAGGGATCTGTCATCTTAGTGCCTGACTGGGCTGTTCAGCTACAGCGAGCAAAGTTCATCCTGATTTCCAACACTGCATCATCGCCTCCGGTCCCGTAACACTGACACACCTGCAGCATTCCAGCTTGGGCAGCGTTCGGAGCACCAGGAACAGAGGGACGAGGAGGGCAGGTCCTGGTCCAGCCTCCTCTGGCAGATCCCTCCTGAGCTGGGCTCCTGTCCCCATGTGCTATCGCTGCATCGCATCCCGCAGGCACCACGTCCCCTGCACTGGGCACTGCTGAGGCTGCAGCTTGAGTGCTGGGTTCAGTGTTGGGCCCCTCACTCCAAGAAGGACATGGAGGTGCTGGAGCGTGTCCAGAGAAGGGCAACGGAGCTGGCGAAGGGTCTGGAGCACAAGTGTGCTGAGTTCCCTTGTGGCTGAGGGAACTGGGGGTGTTGAGCCTGGAGAAAAGGAGGCTGAGGGGAGACCTTCTGGCTCTGTCCAAGTCCCTTGGAGGAGGGTGGAGAGAGGTGGGGGTGGGTCTATTCAACCAAGGACAAGAGGAAATGGGCTCCAGCTGTGGCCAGGGCAGTTGAGATGGGATGTGAGGAAGAATTTCTTTGCTGAAAGGGTTCTGAGGCATTGGAA